TTTTTTTTTTTTTTTTTTTTTTTTTTTTGCGCCACGCCAAAGGTCGAACACCAAAAAAAAAAAATGGGCGTGTAGGGCTTTTCCAGCCCTACACGCCCATATATATATATATTTTTTTACACGTAAAAAATGGGAAAAAAAAATACTGCACCAAACTAGGCAGGTCGGCCTAGGCCGAACCGGGCCGATTCGGTCATCGGCCTAGGCCGTGGCCGACTCGGACCCCCCGGCCACGGCCGGGCGTGCAACATAGTTGGTGGGTGAAAAACAATTAAAAAAAAAATAACTAAAAAAAATCTTCATTGATTGATTGATTGATTGATTGATTGATTGAATTTGTATATCTGATTGACTGATTGATTGACTTTTTGATTGATTGATTTTTTTATTTTATTTTTTTATTGATTGATTGCTTGATTGGTGAGGGGGGGGAAATCGAGGGAGGGGTTCCCCCCCCCCCCGGATGCACACACACACACACGCACTCTCTCTCTGTCACACGAGAACCCGCTGTTTTTTTTTTTTTTTTTTTTGATGGATTGATTGCTTGATTGGTGGGGGTGGGGTCTCCCAACGTGCATCCTCCCCACCTGTGTGTGCACACACACACACAAAGAAAAACATGCGCGTTCGTTCTTTTTTTTTCTTTTTATCAATCAATCAATCAATCAATCAATCAATCAATCAATCAATCAATCAATCAACTAATCAACCAACCAATCACAATCAATCAATCAATCAATCAATCAATCAATCAATCAATCAATCAATCAATCAATCAATCAATCAATCAGTAAGTCAATCATTATGTGTGCATCAAAAAATTTTAAAAATAAATAAAAAATCTCAGGGTTTTTTTTGTTATTATTTGTTTTTCCTTTTATCTTTGCATCTGTTGTACAAAAAAGGAATCAAAGAAATATGTTCACCATGTTTATCCCTCCAGCAAGCAGAAAAAAATAAAAATTAATTAAAAAATCGTTTTTTTTTTATTACGTTTCTTTCGATTAGAATACTTGTTGTTTCGTTTTTTATTTATTTTTAAATAAAGCACTTCTAAATCCAAAAAGCAAATATAGGGTTGTAGATTTTTTTTTATTTTTTTTTTTAAGGCGATGGCCTTGAGGTATTATCATCAGACTAACCAGCCTTGGTAAATTCAATCTTGTGTCTAATCCAACATCGGGTGGCCTTTTCAGCCCAATGTGACCTTTTCAACAGAGGGTGGCCTTATTGCCTTCAAGGAACCCCCACTGGGGGACACCGGCCAGGGGACAGCCGGTAGCAGAGGGGCTGAGCATCATCTGAGTGGCCAGTCGTTGTGCCTCCCCGATTACCGCTCCCCCTATGAACCCTCCAACACTTTTTTTTTTTTTTTTTTTTTTTTATATGACAAATTCTCGGCCGCACCCGTCTGCCCCGGCCATGGCCAGAGGTCGGGATCCCGACCGCAATCGGAGTTGGACCCCGTGGTCATGACTGAGGGGGATACATAGACGTAGGCCAGTGAGGGGAAATTGAAAATTAATTGGGGCCATTATTGGGCCACTTGAAAGATATCATGCACATGGTAGTTTGAAAAGTTGGACCGGTACCTAGAAGGGGTATATTGCAAAGATGGTTGGTCCCACTGACTCCAATGGTATTTTGCCAAGATTTTTAATTGTCTGCCTCTCTTAGTGCAATGTTCTGACCGATGGAATGATAATCATCAGGATGGGTGATTGATTGTGCAATGATGGATTGTTGACATTCAAGCGATGATGACCAATATAGGAAGTTGAGTGAGCATGTCGCATGCATGAAAGCAGGGTAATTTGCTCCTCTTCGTTACGAGTTGTGATAAGCTAAGTTTCGTACGTTGTGGCTTCATTTACCCTTTGGACTAAACCCCAGAGGCAGCCCCGCAGTCGAGCGCATAGGGGACCCCTCCCGACGACTTCACGCAAAACTTTTGCAGGACATTTGCAAAGGGTTTGCCGCTCCGGCACAGTGCGGTTGCTGTATCTCTCACGAACTCTTACGACATGATAGAGGTCTCACGCTAGGCACAACGTACCTCTACCCACGAGAGTTGTCACCTCCCTAGGTAGATGTATCCTTGCTGAGCTACGAAACCATGTGCAAAAGCTTCTTGAGTGCAATCGCAAAGGTGGCCCAGCCGAGGGCATTTCCTGTTCCTTGTAGCATAGCGGGTAGGTGCGGTCGAACGCCTTCTTCGGATCCGCACGTGAATCAACGTTCTAAGGCTCTACGCCGATCAACTAGAATGGGCAATCTAACCACGCAATACACTTACAAAATTTAAAGCAAGCCTCATTCGTAAATCACGCCTGTTTTTTTTCTCCCCTCTCGACCCATAACTTTTCGACCGCAGAATAAGTAGGTGTCGTGCGTGAGATGACGTAATATGTGGCACTCACAATAATGCAGACCTCAGTGATTTTGAGGGTTGCTTTCAATACTAAAATATCGGTTGACGAGTGCCTTTAGCGGTTAGTCTCATTACGTTGGACAATCACGAATGTAAATACGAGTCCTTCCCTCTTCTACACACTGCGGAGAGGAGCAGTAGGCATGCTTCCACCCTTTGTGGCGGAGGAACGCCCCTAACTCGAGAAGAGGCCTCATCTTCGAAGGTCAGGAAACAAGTCAAGGATTTTGACTTCGACAGCCTTCACGAACCTCAACGTCCAACAATAAAAAAATTAACAAACGAAATAAAAGGAAAATTTATTTTTTTTCTAGCCCAAAGTTCGCTTAACCATGAGGCTTACGCATGGTCATTCAAACGACGTGAATACACTAAGTATAACAGAGTGGGATTATTGAACATGAAACGATCACTCTTACACTCACAATGTGACTTCCTTCCAAATATAGACATAATTGCAAGCAAATCAAATATATAGTTCGAATCACAAATCTACCTGCAATCACACAAAAAATGCAACACCGACAGACTTCAGACTACACGACGTTAACTTCAACCATTCTCTGCATTCACATCCCTTGCCTTATCCATACGAAGCTTCAAACTTTCTACACATACCCCAAAAAAAAACACTAAGTCCTTTTTAAATGAATATCAATAAAAGTCAATGTAAAACCCCTGAAAGATATTGAACCCACGGAAGTTAAGGCCTTAAGTTGAGACGCGAGAATAAGTTACAGTTGAGCCGGCAACGGATAAATCGACAACCAACATGTTATCAATGATAAGACAATATAATCCCCGTAGAAGCAGGTTGTAACTAGTTAACTTTGAACCAAAGCAAACGAAAATGACTGACTACACAGCAGAGGTCGGCACCCAAAGTTCTACTTTAAGTGTATGGAGAATAAAACCCCATATCACATCTTGTTTCAACTCCTTATTAGCTACATTTGATTCTCTCTCTGACTGATATCAAGAAATTTTTGGTAGCATCTCCCCTCAGTAGAACAGATAGTTCAAGTTTTTCTAACTAAAGAAGTTAGAAAAACTTCTTGAATTAGTAAAACTTTTGGAAACACTTCCCCTAGCGAAGTAGGTTTTCAGGATTTATACTACGTCAGATATATCATAATAATCATATAACTTTAAGACAAGACTTAAGTTCTGCAAAGACAAAATTTAATGAACTTTCTAGATTTGTAGAAATTTCGGTGTCAGTTCTTCTAACGAAAGTGTCGTTTAAAAAGTTATTCAAAGCTAAATATGAATCCTAAAAATAATTTTCACTTCACGAAGTCAAATTTTGTCCGTCTTGTTGATAAAAAAATTGGCAACACTTTTCTTAGAAAGAGCTACGTTGTGACTTGTACTCACCCTCATACGAGTACAAGTTGTACTCATTTCTCGTACGCTACTCGTACTCAAGGCCCCGTACAATTTTTTTTATTTTTTTTTTACTGTTTTTTTTTTTTTTTTCTCTAATTCTAATGAGAATCTGCAGATGGTGCACATAAAAATGTTGCTTGTTTTAGGATGCTAAAACACATATTTGTTTTTCGGAGTTTTTTTATTAACTTTTTTTTTTTTTTTTCTCGTACGGGTCATACGGGGACGTACAGGTTCCCGTACAGATATTACCTGTACATTTCGTACGGAAAAGATCCGTACGTGTACGTTCGGTAACATAGAGAAAGAGTGGGCGTCCACGATTTATACTAAGCCAAATATATAATTAAGACAAATATTGATTTTTGCAAAGACAAAATTTGACTAACTCCGGGATTTGTGAAAATTTCGGCAACAGGTCTCTTAGCGGAAACTTCTTTCCAAAATTTAGAGAAAGAGAGCTATAAAGTCAGACAAACCTAACCTTACAAATACGAAAATTAAACTAACTCTTAATAGTCTCTTATGACTTCAGCAAATGGTGAGCATTTAAAGCAACTACCTATCATAGAGAGAACTCAAACTAACTCATAAACCTGCAGACATATGCAACCAAGGTAAGTCTCTCACCAAATCCCAAGTTGGTTTCACGTAATGAATAGTTCATTGAACCTTGATATGATTAACCATTTACCCTTTCTATCATATGACATAAGGTCAGATTGCCCCCAACTCATGAGGTTGTCTGACCAACCTAAGATATATGACAATACCATTTTAACTTATGGGTACGTCTAGTCAAATTTAAATAATAAATGTAAGATATGTGACTAAGTCACACTAACTTATGGTGTGGTTAGTTCATGTCTTAAAAAATGATGTAAGGTGTATGACTAGATCGCATCCACTTATGATGTGACTAACCAACCTAAACCTTCGGTATACAACAAAATAATTGGACCGCCCCAGCTTATGGGAAGATCCAACCTTTGTCTGAACAACGACAAAAGGCATACAATTAGGTCACACCAACCTCTAGTATGGCTAGCGAGTCAAAACAATGACATATAGCATAGGACTAGGCTACCAGACTTATGCATAGTCTGATTTACTTGGATAAATAACAAACGCACATAACCAGGCAGCCCCAAACTTATGGGTTCACTCAACTTCTGAAACACAACTACATTAAAAGAAAAAAAAATTCACCACTTTTTTCTCTTTTTTCACAAATGGTCGGGAACTGCAATTTATGAAGATCCTCAATTAGCCTTTATTGTGTTTAATAACCTGTGCAACACATTGAACATGTTTGGAACTTTTCCGAAGTCCGAACATGTTCGGGTGTTCGGCAGACGCCTCCCGAACGTTCTAGGCCGAACATATTTAACGAAAAAAAACGAAAAACTTTTTTTTTTTTTGAACTCGAGTTTGGTTACAAATTTGAGCATACCTCTGAGGCTAAAGTTGTATGTATTATTATTTTACATAACGTACATTTTGTTTTCAGATTTTTCTGAGAAGTGTTTTTAATTTTTTTTAAATATTTCTATGTTCGCGTTCGGAGAGTTTTGGTGCTCGTTCGCGTTCGGTCCCGAACGTTCAGGTTCGGTGACCGAACCCGAACACGATGCTACACAACTTTCTGGTATGTATGATCTTTCAATTGTTTTTCGTACAATCAGTGTTGTCATTTTGATGATCGTATGTTGCTCGTCCTCACAAAGTATAGAATTCTTTTATATGATTGGTACCTTCATATAACTGAGACTCGTTTTGAATGGTCATCTACTGGTTGCTTGATTGGCAGTCTGTACCCTCTGTTCAGGAAGGGGGGTGTGTATCACTAAGCCTCATTCACCCGGTCACGGCGACTATAAATGTATAGCCGTGATCGTGTGAATGGGGTGAACAACGATTTCGTCAAAACGAACATATTTTATTTTTTGAACGAAATTAAAAATTCAAATTAGGGCCAAAATTTGATGTATCTAGAGTCAACCCAAGTCCAGATACATCGAGGAGGTATGGCATTTTCAGAATCGTTACGCCACAAGTTCCATAACCAAAATTTTCTTAAACTTTGGCCCTAGTTTGGATTTTCAATTTCGTTCAAAAAATAAAAAATGTATGTTTTTGGCCCCCGAAATAGCCCTTCCAAAAGAATCAAAAAAATACAAGGAGGCATGTTTACAAATGAGCTACCTCCCTTTGGATTGCCCCCCCACCCCCAATCTATTAAAAAAAAAAAAAAAACTTTGCATGATTTGTGCACAACATAACATTCGTAGGCAGGGTGTTCTGCAAATACATTCAAAATATTGTTCAAGATAACAATGTCCTTGCCTCTATTTATCTCTCTCCCACCCATACACACACACACGGACACTATGATAGATTGGCTGGTAACCGCTGGTTGATTGATTGATTGATTGATTGATTGATTGATCGATTGATTGATTGATTGATTGATTGATTGATTGATTGATTGATTGATTGATTGATTGATTGATTGATTGATTGATTTATTGATCCATTGATTGATATATTGGATCTATTGATTGATTGGTCATTTAATGATTGATTGATAGATTGATAGATTGGGTGATTGATTGATTGATTGATTGATTGATTGATTGATTGATTGATTGATTTTGTTTTTTTTTCCAAATCGGGGTCGACCCCAATTTTTTATTCCCCTTCAGCTTTAAATAGGGGCTTAGGGGGTCCTTGGACCTTCCCCCTCCGGCGTTCCCAGCCTTAGGGAACCTTGGAAGAGCCGCATCCAACCTTGAATGGTGGTCGTGAATGGCTAGTGTGACCTCCTGTGAACAGCCGTTCGCTGGTCACCGAACGTGTTCAGGTGACGATACTCATGTTTGCCAATTTACTGGTTGCATGATTGGCTATCTATTGGTGGCACTATGACGTGATTGGCGATTTGCATGATTGATGGGAGCAGTTTGTTCCTCTTCACTATAAGAGTACATTATCTTCTTTTGGCTAAATCATAGGATGGTGTTCTCTTACATACTTCAGCTTTGCATTGAAAGGTGTGGTAGATATGCACCGTATTCTCGTGTCCACTCGAGATCGTAGCCGTAGTTCAGGTACTATAACGTGGAAAGGCCACTTGTCTATGACTGGGATGCAAGCGAAGCTACGATGCAGATCTGTTGGCCTTATCATTATCCTGACGACGGGAAGTTTTCTGCCTTCGTTCGCTCTGGATTTGTGATCGTTGACACCGTCTTTCCTCCTTTCTCGATTTGCTCCCCTTGAACGAGCTCACTTTTATTGTTTGGCCAGCGGTTGCGCCTTACTGTCCTCATGCACTATGTTTAGCCTGTAGATCCTTATGCACTATGTTTAACATGTAGACGGAGGGAGAATATGAGAGTGAGCGGGTTTGACTACGCGTCATGCGAAGATCAGGAAGTGGCGGAAAGGGCAACATGATTGCATCCGTCCAATTCTGACTCCGAGCATTGGGAGACATGGAGATCAGAAAGTAGCGGAATGGGCAACATGATTGCATCTGTTCGATTCTGATTCTGAGCTCTGGGAGACATGGTGTCAAGCCCTCGCCCCAGAGTAGAGATCCTGCTTACACTCTTTCCTCTCTGCCATGGGAAGCGACACCCAAGGCCCCGCCATAGCTGTCATGATTATTCACGTTTGTATATGTTGATTGATTCTGAATTTGCTGCTTCACTCAAAGTAACTGTTGTGAGTGCATGTGAAACATCCATAGCCAGAGGTTCCTGTGAAACGTCGTGTCCAGAACCGATCCTGACACAGGAGATTGCATTTCCGATCCGGGACTCCAACCCCCTTTGTCCAGAAATCCTTGGAACACCCCATTTCAGTGCTTTCCTAGGGCCTTCAGCAATCATGATCCCACTCTGAAAGGAAAGCAGCGCATGCGGTGAAGTTGGTGACACTGTGTGCACAAAAAAAAAAAGAAAGTTGGTGACACTGTGTTGCAGTGCGGACGTCCTTTTGTCTGCAAGTGGTACTGCCTGCCATTTTGCTCCAAGGCCGAGTCCAGAAATTTGTTGGGCAACACCCCCGGCTTAGGTTCTGACCTACCAACTGTGCCCAGTGAGAAATCCACCGCATCCCTTTCTTTTTCTGCTCCAATGCCAGCACAAGCAACACAGAGGGATAGAGCAGGGCCGCGCCCCACTGGTGGAGGTTGGGGAGTGGCCCCCTTAGTGTACCTTTATGACCCCTCGGTCCGAGTCTCCCTTGCTAGCATGTGGCCCTATGAACCATTTTCTGATCAGATTTTAAGCTGATCCAAACGGATCCTACTCACAATAGGACCATTACACGTGCACCCACGCCAGGCCGTAAAAGCGGTCAGATACATCCACGGAAGTCCTCTGAACATGGCTTCAGCCAGAAGGCGGAGGATATTTCTCAGTTAACCAAAAAAAAAAAAAAAGGTCGACGGCCTTGAGAGGCTCGCAACACAGGCTGTCGAAATACAATGCAAATTCGAACGCACTTCTAGAAAGGTCGGCCGGGCACTGTAGAATTTCCGTCACCTGCAGGCGGGAGAAAATGATTGCTGTAGGGGGGCTGTCGACAGTACCATTCTGACACCTGTCAAATGTTTTTTGAGCCACAATTCTTCGAAAGTCTGTGTGGCGATGCAAAATTGGCGAAAAGCTGGTTTTTGACAGCCTGTGGCGAGCCTCTTACTCAGCAAGTTCCATCATCCTGATTCCGGTCTTTATTTCTACCGTTCATGGGTGTACCCACTGAGCTAGGCTCTAGGGTTTTCTCAGTTTTCTTGCTTTCTTCCGGAAGCAACAGCTCACATAACCGGCAAGCCCCCAGGGGAAAAAACAAAGAAAAGCGGAGGTATCAGACTGCAAGTGCCGCCCTATGCAGAAAGCCTGCGGAGCTAAAAAGCAGGCAACGGTTCCTTGCTTTCGCACCCACCTGTGTTTCATGTGTAGCCTTCATGTCTAGACTTCAAGATTACCTCTGCTTCATGTTTAGTTTTGATATGTCCACCTGTTCTCCAGAATTTAGCTATCTTTCCCAGTGGTTGACTCTTCGTGGAATTATATTTGACACCCCTCCTCTCACGAAAAAAAAAAACAGAAACAGAAAAAAAAAAGCAGGCAGTTTTCCGAGGAGGAGGAGGGGGAGGGGGGGGGGGGAGGAACAGGAAGCCAAGCAGCGCTCTGGTGGTAATG